GGGAAAGCAAGGTATGATGCTGCCTGCAGCCCCCTGCTTGTTCTTGCCCACAAACCAGCAAACACTGGTGCTCTCAACGCTGGAGACAGCTCTACAGCTTTAAGGACTGGATATATGGTGAGGTTAATGTGAGTGTAACCCACCCTTGTACCAGAATTAAAACAAAAAAACAAACAAAAAAACCCAGCAAACATATGATATATAGCCCAATACTAGTCTAATTTACCAGTGTAGAATTACTTGTGGAAAAATCAGAGTACTGTAGTTATACTGATTTAAATATGGTATGTCTGCTTCTATTCCAGGATAGTTGTTTGATTCCTGCAAATGCATCAGACAGATATTAATCTATCGTACATCAGGGCTCTTAGGTCATCAACACATTCAAAATACAAACTATGCCACAAGCACACTTTAAACGGAAGATATGTGTATAGTTACACGACCGTCTTGCTTGGCAAGTGACTCCATGGCAGAATGACACCCACACATACATGCAGCCTTCCTGATTACACTGGGTTTACAAGAACATTGACATCAGCCCCTGCAATCACTTATGGGGGTAAAGGTCTTAAAGTCATGAGTTAGAGATGCAAGAGAGTAAAAGCTAGATTCTGTTTAATCTGTTAAGATGCTTAAACATGATCCTATTCCACCTTGCTTGAGTCCCTTGAGTTCACACAAAAGGATGTGCATCCTCCTCTTGCTTGCTGCTTTTTGTGACTTAAGATGGCATGTCACAAAATTCAGTGCATTAACAGTTTTTTAAAGGGACTTGAGTGGAACAGAATCACAATCGAGCGTGTAAGAGCTGTAACAGGATGGGGCTGCAAATCACTCCTGTGCATTCTAGCCACTCCTGTAGGCTAGAATGCTCCTTCCAGTAAATTTTGCCCTGGCAGGAACAAAAGCAGCAACTCGAGTAAAACCCCAGAGTTTAGGCTAGAGCTGCTTTGAAGTTAGACTACTGAACTGGGGCGGCCAATCCTAGATGTGCGGCATACAGCATGCAAGAAATTAGCAAGCTGAATCCCTGAGCCAGTAAAGGACAAAACAATAGGTCTGTTGTTCTGAGACATTCATGCCTCCTTCAGGAAATCAGTATTCTCCACTCAGCTGGATGGCAGGGCTCTGCATCATCCACATCTCTATGCATGAAAGTGAA